TTTTTGTCCAAATCGTCTCCAAACTTGTTGTAAACCTTTTGGATGTTTAAAAATGATTATAAAAGGGTTTTAAACATATTTTTTGAATGTTTTTGAGCTTGTGAATATAGGTATATAAAATCATATCCATACATCGGTTTCTATTTATATTCTACGCTAGTTTAGTGTTTCGAGTTCATTCTTGAGAACCGAATCTTAATGGATTCTTGGTGTACCTGAAACACTTAAACAAACATTAAGCTTTTATATTGTTTGTTAACATCAAAACACGAGGCTTAGCAAACCAAGGCTAACAATCATTACGATCTTTGATATGCTAACCTATATACTTTGATTCATATCTAATGCCATCATATATACTAGTGGACGTACAATTATGTTTTGGATATGTAGTTAAGCATATGCAAAGACGTGAATGCGTGGGTAGGAGCCGGCTTACGAAATTATGAATTTTGTAGATTTATTATCGTTAGGGTTTTTTCTAATTGATGAAATAAATCCAGATTTCTTTTTAAAATATTTCGAAATATACCAAAAATGATATAAAGTGTAAAATTGTGATTCTGTACTTTATATAATTCGAAAATATGATATTTGGAGTTTATTTTGGATTTATTTTCTATTTAATCAATTAAGTGAAGTTTGGTATTTTGATTGGTTAAAATACAAAATAAATACTTAATGATTTTATAAAAATAACTTTATTAGTTATTGAATGTTAAAATATGATTTTAGGTATTCTGAAATTTAAAATTAAATTTCGAAATTAATTCTGTACTTAAGGGTTGTTATTTGATTTGTGGTTAATTGGGTTAATCACAAAATAAATACACAATAAAATTGGAAAAATATTTTTAGTTATTCTCGGATGTTAAAATAAGATTTTAAGGGTTCTAGAAAATTATAATAAATTTTCGTGCTTTATTTTTTATTTTAGAATTTAATTACATCTAATTCCTAATCAATAGTGATTAATTAGAATTAAATATAGAATTCGAAATTATAATTTTATAAATTTGGAGATTGTTAGAAATATCAAACAAAAAAGGAATAGTCTAATATCTTGATAATATCCTTGACTGGAATCAAATTACCAATCAAGATATTTGATTAACTTCCACTCACTTTCCTTGATTGTCTTCATTATTAAATTTGTAATATTTATAGACATCATTAGAGATGTATTCAATAAGATGAATATTCTGCTGTGAATTCATTCTAATATTTCTAATATGGTATCAGAGCCATCATTCGATCAAACGATTGAATGAAACGCAACATTCATGATCTACCATAAAAAAATGTCTGATCAAACACCGGAGAGCTCCACCTACACAGGGGAGACTGATCCGATGAAACAGCCGTCAATCCTGCACAAATTTTGGAAATTCTCCAAACTTTCAAGAGTTTAGCACCCAAGGCCGAACTTAGCGAGAGCTCCTCAAATCAATCGTTAAATTTGGCGGAAAAGCTCAACGATAAGAACTATGCCATTTGGGCGCGCAAGATGAGCTTGGTTCTTGACGGGAAAGGTCGGCTCAAGCACATCACTGTCGTACCTCTCAAAACCGATGATCCCAAATATATCAAGTGGAGGCAAACAGATTCAACGGTGATAACTTGGATACTAGAAAACATAGAGTCGGATATTGTAAACCAATACATCGAATATCCGACTGCGTGGGATTTGTGGTAGGGAATCGAAGCCACGTACGGCTCCGGAAAGGATCCCTTGCAAATCTACGAATTAATGGTCAAGGCCAGTGAAATCAAACAAGGAGCACAGTCCTTGGAAAAAGTGTTTAGCCAGCTTCAAGCTGTCTGGAAAGAAATCGACAGACGCCGACCCAACCCAATGAAATGCCGAGAGGATATGACGATTTTCACACAAATTCAACAACAAAATCGTCTATATCAATTCCAAGAGGCTGTAAATAAGGAATTTGATGCCGAAAAACGGGACATACTCAAAACCGAGCCTCTTCCATCGGTGGAAGAAGCATATGCCCAAATCCGAAGAGAAGCAGCAAGAAAGGGGATTATGAAAGGGGAAGGGGGGGACCATCATCGGGAGAATCTCCCTCAAGAATCGGCAGAATCGGTGGTGGCCTAGCTTCCACACGCACGGCAGTGTGATCGGAAAATCACCAATCGTCATCTCGGACATATGAAGATAAATCACAGTTAAGATGTACCTACTATGGTGGGATGAAGCACACGGCCGAAGGATGCTTCAAAAGAATCGGCTACCCCGAGTGGTGGCCAGACTGCCAAAAGAGGGGGAAGATGCCGACGGGAGTCGATGGGGCAGTGGTGGGCAGTCCAAAGATCACCAACATCACTGCCAGCCAAGCGCCTTATTTTTTCACCGAAATCGCCATGAAAAGAGGCGGAAGAAGAGAGACAGATGAAGAAGGTGAAGGCGGCATAGAGGAAGGCGCAGAGAAGAAAGAGTCTGCGTGTAGGGTTACTGAGAAAGTGGGGAAGGGGTTTTTTATATTAAAACCTCTTCCCGGCCCATTAAACAAGCCCAATATCGGCCCAATTAAAAATACGCAATGGATTTTTGATTGTGGAGCAACCGACACAATGTCCTATGACCATTCCGATTTTGGTTCCTTAAGTTGGTCTAAGAAAACCCACATTCAAACGGCCAATTGAGATTACTCTCGTGTCTAAGAAAACCCACATTCAAACGGCCAATCTATCTCAAATTCTATCCGGTTGGATAATTGTCTATACGTTCCCACATTATCTCATAAATTGCTGTCAATAAGTCATGTCACCAAACAATTAAATTGCATGGTCCTTATGCACCCCACTTTTTGCTTATTACAGGTTATTCGGACGGGGAAGATCATTGGGCGTGGTTCTGAGCGCCATGGCCTGTACTATGTTGATGAAGTTGATCACTACGGAACGGCTACACTTGCTCATGGGGCAGTGGACATGCAGACATGGCTGTGGCATCGTCGTTTAGGACATCCATCTTGGGGGTATCTCAAAATTCTCTTTCCAAAATTATTCAATAAATCTTGTCAGTTTGATTGCAAGAGTTGTATTCTAGCCAAAAGTCATAAACATTCTTATCCATTAAATAACACAGTTGCATCACAACCGTTCTCATTTCTCATTTATTATTTGTTGATGACTGTACCCGTATGACCTCGGTGTACTTTCTTAAACACAAATCTGAAGTTTTTGAAAAGTTCACCTCATTCTACAAATTAAACAACACACAATACCAAAAACAGATCTGTATTCTTCGATCTGATAATGGAGGAGAATACATAAATCATCCCATGGAAAATTTCTATAAGGAAAAAGGTCTTATCCATCAACTGACTTGTCCTGACACCCCTCAACAAAATGGCGTTACTGAACGTATGAATTGGATCATACTCGAAATCACTAGAGCTCTTATGATTGAGTCCAATGTTCCGATCTTTTATTGGCCCAAAGCAATTGCAACCACCATTTACCTCATAAATCGCCTTCTGACAAAAATCCTAAATCACAAAACACCTATCGTTACACTTGCGAATTTTCCACTGTTCCTACCTCCTTGACTCTCACTCCTCGTGTGATTGGTTGCACTGTATATGTACATATTCAAAAAGCCAAACGGTCAAAACTTGATCCTTGTGTTGTCCGATGTGTCTTTGTTGGGTATGTGGTTCACAAAAAGGGATACAGATGTTATGATCCTATTTCTCGATGGATGTACACGACAATGGATTGTAATTTTTTGGAAACTGAGTATTACTTCCATAACCACTTTAGTAGTCAGGGGAGAAAGTTATGAATGACTCTCTAGAGTGGTTACACAGCCCAATCTTGCCTCCTAAAACTGTCCCAACCGAGGAAGTAAGTCGCTCTGTGAGATCATCTTTTGAGACATTGAACAGTCCAACAACTCTAAACTCATGTCTTATTCTACTATGTCTGAAAAGACTCTTGAGGTTAGTATTTCTCCCATAAAGATAGTTGAAGGCTTTGGCATTTTGCATGACGTTCTTCTTGTCTTGATCATCATTTTCGGATTCCAACTTGGGAACACGAATTCCATCAACAATATTTGCAGGGGTAGTGTTTCCATGCTTGATTACCATCCATGAGTCAAAGTCATTTGATTGTATGAATATCCTCATTCTTTCCTTCCAATATGCATAATTTGTACCGTCAAAGAGTGGAGGACGAGTAGTGGATTGTCCTTCGGATATTACCGCTTGAAATAATCTTCTAGCCATGATCTTGTTTCCTGCGGTAAAGCTATGGAAAACAACAGGCTCTGATACCACTTGTTAGACGCCTCGCACACCTCTAGCGGGGGGTGAATAGAGGTGTTGCCCAAAAGACCAGTTTTTTGTGTGGAAACGTTCTTCACGAATATTCAATAAAAACAATGCACCACAAACAAAATAAAATGAAGGATAAGAGCAATGCACACACGATATATACTCGTACGGCCTAAATGCCTACATCCAGTCCCCGAAGCAATCGTGCCTAGGCCTTCACTAACCCGTCAAACTTAACGGAGTTAGACAATCCGAATACAACTCGAGAACTGGATTTCACAAGCCTCTTATCTTACCACCGAAGTTTTGATTTCACAAAACTCAGGATTTCTTCCACCTAACATTTGATTTCACAAACCGTTAGGATTTCTACCACTTGGTGTAATCCCAACACCAAGAATACAAATCCCTTACAATAAAGTAAGAAAACAAACCGCAACCGAGTAATTCTCCCAACATGGAGTAGATGTTAGAATAAGTGCCCTTCACTAGAGGGGGGGGGGGTGAATAGTGAGACACGAGAATGTTTATAAATTTTCGCGGAATAAAAATCGCAGGGATAAAGTAAAGAACGTAAAAAGTAAAGAGCGTAAAAAAAGCGTAAAGAGAGCACACCAAGATTTATACTGGTTCACCACAACGTGTGGCTAGTCTAGTCTCCCGAGAGACTCTCTCGAGCTACACTACTTCCGTTAAGCTTACGGGTGCTTAACAAACCGTTACAACCAGAGAACTTGAGTCCCACGAGCCTCAATACACTTGCTCAGAGATACCGCACTCCAAGACTTCAACTCGAAGGAATATGCCCTTCCTTCGTACAACCAAGGGAACAAACCTCCCTTAAAGTGTTCACAACACTTAACCACTCAAGAACAAAAACTCTCTTAAAGAGTAGAATATGAGTAAACTAATTAAGATCAAGAACACACTCAATTCCTCAAGAAATGCCTCTAAAAAGCTATGTAAAAAGTTTATGGAATGATGCAATGTAAAGCTATTAAATGTGTGTGGAATGGTTGTGGAAAATATACCCAAGAGACGCCTTTTTATACCCAAAAACAAGGTGCAACGGTTGGGAGAATATTAGGGTTGATTGGCATGATTTGTGGAAATCAATTAAAAGTGGATCTGCTAAAATCTAGCCCGACAGCGCTGTTCATATAGTGAACATCACTGTTCTGGCTTTGACTTTCCTTTAAAAATGGCTAACAGTCACCAAAACATCGATGTCTAGAAGTCTACATCGCTGTTAGGGTGTTTGACTTTCAAAAATGGAAAGATTTTGTCTTAAATAGCCCAACGCTCATTTGAAAACATCGCTGTTCAACCATGAACATCGCTGTTCAAAAACTTACTGCCCAGGGCTTCTGAAGGCCAACATCGCTGTTGGGATTTCCGACATGCATGTCGGGATGGTTTGCCAGAACCATGGTTTGGCAGCCAACGCCGAAAACTGATGTCAAAAACCAAAGTTCTCCAAAATGAAAACCAAGTGTTTGAAACTCTTATATAATGTATTTTAGGTAGAAACCAAGTATAAAAACGTTAAAACCACTTCATTAAGGTAAAAGCCACTTCTAGCCAAGTTTATGCCGTTTTACATGGTTTTCACCAAAAGACCAAAAACGAAAGGTGGTTTTTAACATGTTTTTGTTGGAGAACTATTTGTATATGCCCAGAAGTAAAAACCAATCATAAAATCTTAAAAACCACTTGATTGATTCTGGCAGCAAAAACCAACGCCGATAACAAGCGCCGAATGCCGATAACCAACGCCGAAAAGAACAAAGGTTATGGTTTTTGAAAACTAATGATTTGGAAAACCTTTTAATGTGTCCAGAAGCTTAAAACAAGGATAAAAACCCAAAAACCATTTGGTAAAATCAATGCCAATAACCAATGCCGAAAACCGAACGCCATAGCCGAACGCCGATAACCGATGGTTATGGTTTTGGTTAAGAAAGAACCATGGGTTTTAGAAAATTAAAAACCATTTATGAAAACATTAATTTGATGCATGAAAAACATACTTTGTTTTGAGCCATGACGTAGAGAAATTGAATGGGCTTGTTACAATAAAACCTAAGTCTTTAGAATACGTCTTCAAAGCGCCAGTGTCGCCATCTTTAGCAACGTCAATGCCGTTCTTGTGCTTTTTGTTTCTTCAAAGAATTTTTTCTATCTTTTCATTTTGTTCCATGTTCCCGACGGTTTGTCAATATCAAAACCTAAACGGAAACAAACATTGTCATTAGCAAAATGTCAAAGTGAAAATGTTTTCCAACAATTTCCCCCTTTTTGATAATGACAAACCAAGGAGGGGATATGCAGGCCAAGTTGGGTTTTCAAAGAGAGAGTAATGGTAATTCCCCCTACGTCTTTG